ATATGCATGAATTGTGACTTTCATCTCTTATTTTGGGACTGAGACTTGATTGCTTTTTGATTTATCTTTTTATTAATTTTGAATGCAAGATACACATACAATCTAAACGTTGTTCGATAAACTTTTATAAAACTCATTTGTTAACATCCCTAGTTCCAAGTATTTAAGGGAAAGTAGATCAGCTCATGAGCTTAAAGAGGAAAGACATGCAAGTGATCTGTTAAGCAAGTTCTTAGCTATCCATCGGTAGGAGGCTTCAGTCAAATGAATACCGCCCCAAGTCACATACTTAGACCATCTCCAACTCATCTCTATTTTCATCTCAAAATAGAGTTTAAAGTCAAATTTATTCCAATCTATCTCTATTTTCATCTCTATAATAGAAATTGCTATTTTTTCTCAATATTTAGAGATGGAAATAGAGATTTTTTTTTCATATCTTAAAAGACAAGAAAAAAAATAGCACTTCTCTAAAATAGAGTCATACATTGGAGAGAAAATAGAGAAATACTATTTTTTACTCTATTTTAGAGATAATTACAGGAAAATACATTGAAGATGCCCTTAGAAGGAACTTAACAATGTCCCACTCCTTTAGACCCACATGGCTTATCCAGGCCCGTTCCTAGAGTTAAGAAGGCCTTAGGCCAAAAAAAATGTGGATCCGAAAAATAGTGTTAAAACAAAAATTAGGGTCCAAAATTAGTGTAAATTATGATATCAAACTAAAATTACTATGGAAAATACATATAATTTATAATTTTTCTTAAATTTGAGATCCCAAAATTTTGTAATATCAAATGGCCATTAGGCGATTGCCTCAAATTTATAAAGGTGGGCACGGCCCTCGGCTTATCAAAGGTGAAATTGTACAAGCCGCCTATTCCACAACAAGCGGATAAAGGTCTCTTCATGAAATAGGCGGCTTGTACAATTTCACCTTTGATAGGCGGCATCCAAAATCCTTCTTAGACTACATATTCTCTTCATGAATCTTGGTAAAATACATAACTGTGAGAATATGTAGTCTAAGAAGGATTTTGGATGCGCACCGTATTGTGTCGGTTCACGGTAAAACCGTAACACAACTTCATAGTAGTTGGGATATTTGATGGTGGCACTAGGATAAAGCTTTTGGAGTCTATTGAGTTCTGTCTTAAGGTGCTCGTTATGGTACTCAGAAAACTCATTAGGCCACTTCAAGCATCCGGTTAAAGAGTCGTAGTCCTTCATGTTTGTTGTCTTAAATTTGGTTAAATAAGCAGCATAACATCCAGTCAGAAACTTCCCAGGAACTAGAAATGTTCTAGCTCCCAAACTGAACAACTCCTGTATTATATAGTTCATACTTGCAAGCTTTGATTTTTCGGCCTCCCGAACAAAACAAAACATCAAAAAGAGAAATGATCAAAGATATTATTACCACAATTGTTGAAGAAATAGCATTGATCGATCACTAGGGGAACTATCTCTTTGATCTCCTCGATGCTTATAGTCATTCCCTCCAATCTCACCAACGATAAACAACGAGTTTCTAAAAATCTCTCTGCAATCTTAAAAAAAAGTGATCGTACAGTGGTAATAATCAAGAATATGATAAAAGTGTAAGAGAGCAAAAATGCGTACCGATGAAGTCGATAATGAGACGACCATCGGAGTAACGACCAGTGGGACAGTGGAAGATGGTATCACGATAGGGAGAGAAGGCGGTACGTGGAAGATGATTTGGATCGGAGAGACGAAGAAAGTTTCCCGTGTAAGCTGATGATCGGTTTATATAATTTAAATGAATATGAGAGTATTAATCAGTTGATATAGTGATCAGAAAAGTTGTGAGTTTCAAGAAATGAAACTTTGTAGATGATGACATTTGGATGGGGGATACCCCG